ATACAAAATCTGTTGAAAGATGTGTAAAAATGACTTCTGAAAGTGCTTGTCATGTCTTTGGTCAGTTTAGATGAGACACATACATTTAAGGTCAGATAGCTAGTAGAGAGCTTATGTCTAGTAATTCTATTAAAAAAGACATGAAAAGTCTAATACAAAAAAAATAGTTGAGAATATTAATTTATTCACATTTGTAAGAATGTTATTTACTTATTTTTTTATGAAGTGATTATTTATATACAGAATGCTCAAAAAGTTTGTTCTTTAATTTTTATGCCAAACTATTATTCTTTTTCAAACTATTAACCTAATCGCCAAACTGGTTAATCTTTTAAGTTAATGAGCTTGTTTATTTATATATATACATATATATATATATATATATATATATATATATATATATATATATATATATATATATATATATATATATATATATATATATATATATATATAATATATATAGTTATATCCAGTTATATATTATATCAAGTTAAGTTAAGGAGCTTCTTTATATATGTATACTTGTATATTTATGTGTATATATATATATATATATATATATATATATATATATATATATATATATATATATATATATATATCCTTAAACAGTTAAAAATACAGATTTTTTGATTTCAATAACACAACAATATTATTACTCCTGGTAAATATTTAACTTGGATTTCTTTCATAACTCGTATTTGCAATTTAATCAAATAAAACAAAGAAAACAATAGTTTTTGTGAAAAGGATGTTTTAAATTATCGTATTTTCCGTTAAACTAAATTTTGAAATATCGTTTTTTGCATACGATTAAAAATTTTGTTATCTAGATGATTTGGTAAATAACTGCGGTTTTCTTTGGAGATTACAAAAAAAAGTCATCAACAAAAAAAAAAGTTTCAAGGTAAAAAAAAAGTAGCTTAAAGTTTGTTTTTTTTTTTCAAAAAAAAAAATTATTTTCATATTTTTCATACTGAGTTACATAAAAAAAAAACTAGCCATAATCAAATTTTCAAACAAATGGAAAATCGACACACCCTAACCATCATATGCTTGTCCTGGGCAGAGTTTAATATCAATGTTTCTCTTTTTAGAGTGTAATATCGATGTTTCGAAAGGAAATATTTTAAAACCTCTATTTTAAAATAATTCCTCTCTCTCTCTTTCTATTTGTAATTAACTTTATTCTTTTCATTTTGTTTTTCATTGGTAATTTGAATTTATAATTTTTTTTTCCGAATGTTTTAGGGGGCGCTGTTTGATCGTTCTAGGGGGTGTAGGAGGGCAGCCCCTTCCCCCACGCCGTATACTAAATCTGCCACTGTCACACCTATCAGCTTCTGCCATCATTCCACAAATATGTAAATGGCATTTTCCAAATACAAACATTTTTATTTTAGGTGTTAAAATAAAGGGAAAATGTAATTAATCTCTTAGTTTTTTCAACAAAAAAAGCACCGGTCTATCTAGTTTATGTAGTTGTAAATACATTTCAATAAAATATTTGAGAAATTTTTTGATCTAACACAATCCGAATACATCTACGACAATTTAGCTTGCTTTTACTAAATGTAAATACGTATGAACGTGCTGTTACCGAATAACTTTTATTGACATTAAAAAATAAAAAAAAGTGCCATTTATGGTAGTGGAAACGGGAATACGCTAAATTAAATGCTATTCCTATGAGAGTGCTCCAGAACACTTTTAGACTCTAGTCTTTTAAAATGATAAAAATACTTGATCATATGTATCAATAATTTTAAACTTTTCAAGTTTCTTTCATTTAAAGGTTTTAATAATAATGAGTTGAGCAAGGAATGTCCACTTTATACCAATATGCGAGAAATTTTATATAAATCGTAATACAATTATATAAATAACTTTATAAATAAAAGCTTTACAAATATAAACAAGGTTTCTGATGGAAGATCTCATTGATCTTGTCGTCAGAACCTTTTAAAAGCGTAAAGACAACATCAACAGCAAAAATAAATAAAAAATTAAATATTATACAGTGCGTTATTGCATGTTAGAAGTAATTCATTATATCGTTTATTTAAAAAAAAAAAATTTAGTTTAATTTTAAAAAGTTTAAATGAAGTTGATAAATCAAAATTATTCAAAACAATTTTGTTCTAGAGATAAGGTGCACGTTCAATACAAAATTGATTAAACTTTGTACGACAAAGTGGTTTATTTAAAAAATTATCATTTCGCAAAATATATTTGTTTATTTTTTTGATAAAAAAATAGATAGTAAAATAGAGTCATCTTTACAGTGAAACTTTACATTAAAACAAAAACACAAAATTTTATAAATGTTGAGTTGATATAATTAAGGAAATCCGCATCTTTAAATCAAAAATTTGAATGCGTTAAACGATTTTTAAAATATATTAAACGTATAGCGTGTTTCTGACGTATAGCGTAATATATAGACGTAATATATATATATATATATATATATATATATATATATATATATATATATTTTTTTTTTTTTTTTTTTT